ATATCTATCTTTAGTGTTAGGTCAATCCATCATATTCACAAATTACTAACTAAAGATCTCGACTTGGTATATCGCTACAATGTTGTATCTTTAATTTGTTTATGTTGTCTAATGATTGAGTAACTGCTTATTTGAAGCAATTCTTTTCCAACATTAGGAAGTGTGAACCTCCTATTTTCTTTTGTTGGTTCCTCATTACTCTGCATGGGTATTAAGATTGTCTGTAGTAACAACATATGCAGTGAGAAGTGTTGTTTTTGGAGTATTTTTGTGTGTCAGAGATTGTCCTCTTCAACTCAAAAGTTGATGTATTTATAGAGGCTTAAGAGTATGGATTTAAGATTTTTAAGAAATAGCAATTGCCCCAATTAGACTGTGGAAATTGTTGACTGCCTATTTCGTAGGAGATCGTGATCACAACTCCGTCTATGCATAACTACATACTTCAAATTTAGTCATGAAACAGTAAAGTAGGGAAATATAGTCCTTCAAATTTGTGAAATGACCATCTCTTTTCTTGAATTCAAAAATATTTGAAATAATAGTATAGTGAAGATGGAATACAGAGGTATGATATATAAACATGATCTAACTTAGATGACATACAATATATGCTATGATTTGACTTTTACATGATGAATGAAGAAAATTAAAGAGATATGGAATAAGAATAGTACACAGAGATATATAGTGGTTTGACAATCGTTTTCGCTATGTCTACTCCATTCTTCAATGGCTTAAAAAACATTGGAAAATAATCATAACTTTCACTATTTTCAAGATTTAATATACAAGTATTTTGATACAATGAACGATCAACAATCTGAACACTAGATCAAATGATGGTTCCTCCTGTTGATACATATAATCAACTGCTACATTCAAGATCTTAGATGATCTTGATCCAATAATCTTACTATTCATAATAACCCACTCCAAACTTCCTTTCTGCAACATTCTTTTCTCAAATCTAATGAAGACATGTATGAGCGATTGCCATTAGTCTCAAATAATTGGAAAACTCCAAACTTTGCTATTACAAGGTTTCACCAAAGTATTCAATGTAGTACATGGACATTCTTATTTCTTTGTGAATGACACAACCAAAATCCATATGCAAGAAACAATTCTTCCACCTGATACACAAAAACATAACTTCAAAGAAAAATGGCAGATTCCTAATGCACCTCGAATCTAACTCTCACACTCAATCTTTGAAGTTGAAGATCCATAACAATGGTTTCTGACAAAAGGTTAAAGATGATGAATAGTATCTGAAGAATCTCACACACGCAGCTAAAACTCACAAGATCCACATTCTAAGAGGTTAATCACAATGTATTATTAGCAAGGAGTTTGGTGTTGATGAATGAAGAACACACACTAAGTTCTCTCAAGGTTCTTGATGAAATGAATTTCTAAATTCTTGGTGATTGTTCAGAGATTGATCAATTTTATCATTTGATTGATCAAACAATATATATAGCCGAAACGAACAAGTACAAATAATTTCAAATGAATTACAACAACAAAGCTACAACAGAATACAAATAAATTCATACAATTAACAAAATACAAGCACACGATAAATTAAATAATACATCTACACATAAAAATTGACAAATCATCAAAACTAAAATAATATCAATAATGAATGCAATTTCATTAAATATCTCAAAAAAAATTCAAATTCTTAATCTTAACTTTTAAGAATCTTTCCTTTTGCCTCTTTAAATTTCTCTCATTGAGATTCCCCCAATTTTCCAATTCTTCACTCATACCAACAAAAGGGTTGAAAAGTGCATTTAAGAGGTTTCACACGAAACACATTGCTTTACTCCCAAACTCAATGTGTACCCGGTGAACAAAAATTGAGATTTTCAATACAATCTCCATTAAAATGTATATACTTTTAAATACCAAGAGAATTTTTATGAGTTGTGAGAAATTTCAATTGAATATCAACAAAATTTGTTATTTTTAAAAGATAAATCATGACTGCCTTAATTGAAGTTGAAATTTTAGAAAATAAAATAAAATATAATTAATAAAATAATAGTAAAGATATTTTAAATTTTTGAAAATACAAAGAATATCAGATATAAATAAGAATGAGAAGTTAAATTCTCCGTATAGATGTCCCGGCCCATTTATTGAGCCCACATAAAAAGCCTAAGAAAGAGAACATAAACAAGAAAAGAAAAGAATTGCTTCCATCATCTTCCCCAAGCAGCTGAAAAGAGCATTTCTAAGGTATTTCTCTCTTTCTTGCCGTTGCAGATTCCAACTTGTCTCTATTTATTTTTATTCTTTTATTACTGGTATTCCGCTGAACCTACCTTGAAATCAATTTATTTTTTGCTATAATATTCGGCCCACGGAAAATCATCCAAAATAAAATATTTATTAAATTGTTTATTTTGCTAAAATAAAAATAGCGGGTCAAAAATTGGATAGGAGAGGAAATGAGAAGAGGTTTTCCTATAAATTTCGATGAAGTTTCCTGTGAGACCAAAAGATATAGATTAAAAGGCAATGGAGTGCACGTCATTCTCTGCCATCATCAATCCATGTAACTGCCTCATCACACCTACACCACCATTTTTCCAATTTCTTATCATTATAATAATAATAATAATATTTCTTCCCGTAACTAATTTATACCAGGATGATGCTAAAGATAAATACTGTGCAGACAATACTTGCAGGTTTAACGTTTTTCTTGGGCTTATTCAGCAAGCTACTGTGGAAGCTGCAGCGGAAGCCTCGTCCTCCTCTACAGATGATGATGATGATGATCAGAGATGAGAGCTATGAGTTAGATTCTTCTTCGTCCGAGGTTGATGATGACAGGTATGGCCTCAGCTGGAGGTTGGCTGTAGAGACTAATAATAATGTGCGGCCGTGGAAGACGGTGCCACTTCGCTGCTATAAACATGTTGAGAATTACATGGTTGGTGGACAATATGAACTTGACATGAACATCATCGTAGACGAAATTGTTTTCTATGCAAAATCACAGATTCCTCTTCCTACTAGTAAAGATGCTTGGATATTGGACGTCGATGATACATGTATCTCTAACATTCCTTATTACAAAGCCAAACGATTCGGGTATGTTATACTTTTTTTTTTAAGAAATGACAATATATATAATACATGTTTCTTTGACTAAAAACTTTGAATTTGCAGATGTGAGCCGTTTGATTCGACGATGTTTAAGGCATGGATAAACAAGGGAATGTGTCCTGCAAATCCTGTGGTACTAAGATTGTTTAAAACGTTGATACAGAAAGGGTTCAAGGTGTTCTTAGTAACGGGTAGATATGAAGAAACACTTGCTAAAATCACTATGGACAATTTACATAGTCAAGGATTCATTGGATACCAACGCCTTATTTTGAGGTAATATTAACTATTCACAATTACTATTACTATTGTTTAAATAAATAAAAAAACTCTACTATGATACATGAATGAAAGCATACAAGAGAGTTGGGCGGTTGGTGACAAGTATTAAATAGAAAGAGGACAAAAAAACCATTGTCAAAGGGACAGTGGAAAGTGGAAAGAAACTTCCTCCAACGAATACCAATGTTGTGCTGTGTGTGCACATTTTCTAATGGGATTCTTTTTTTCAATATTATTTTCTGAAAAACACAATAGACTTTGTCAACTCTTTGTAAAAAGTCTAGATTGTCACGCCGTTGGCCGTGATTGCTTGCGTATGCATATGCAATTTATAAATAACAATTATTTATATATTGAAAAGTTAGAATGACATTTATTTTAAAATAAATTTTTTTCTCTGAAACTACAGTCATTTTGAGAAACAGAGAGAGTAATAACTACTATTGTCTTCTTCTTTTTGGATTGAAAAAAGTGTTAGTCTAATTGGATTGGTTTTGGCAGGAGTGCTGAATACAGAGGAATGAGTGCAGTGAAATACAAGTCATCCATTAGAAAAGAGATAGAAAAGGAAGGTTATAGAATATGGGGAAATGTTGGAGATCAATGGACTGATTTACAAGGAGATTCTTTGGGCAATCGTACTTTCAAACTCCCCAATCCTATGTATTGCATTTCTTAAGAGACAAATCAAATTATCAATCTTGCTTTATTTCACATACAAAACTTCTTATTATTATTGTACCTACCAAGATGATATGAATGGAAGCAACAATATTCCTAATTGACTAGTGCTTTTAGTTCTTCAAATTACACTTAAAAAATAATCATCAAAATCAAACCCGCACTTGTTTTAGCAACATTGCTTAACTTTTTTAGTTATATAGAAAATAAAATACGAAAAATTCGGTGAAACCTTCCACATTTATAAATGGGAGAATCTATACAACTTTTTAGTTATAGTATTTTTCTAACTAATGTGGAATTATTATCCATATTATTTATGCTTATTATTTATACTGAACAAAGTTTAAAAACAAAAAACACTTAAAAATTGAAGAACAATAAAATCAATAAGTACTTTCAGTATAATTTAAACTCAATCTATTTTCGATACAAAATTGAACGGAATCATAACTTTTTAACAGTATTAGTTAAATAGTGAAATAGGAACAACATGCATCTTCCTCAATTTTTCAAACTTTTTAACAGTATTAGTTAAATAGTGAAATAGGAACAACATGCATCTTCCTCAATTTTTCAAACGTAGAAATCCTAGAAGCAAAGCGGGATCATTAAGAGAGAAAGAGAAACAAGTACCTAGTCTTAGCGGTCATCCTAATGAAATATTAAAATTGTCTTTTTAATATTTTGGAAGTACATTTTATTTTGGGAATTTTACATGTTTTTAGTTCTGCTACTGATGTGTCTGTTACGTTTGAACACACGATATTACAACGCATGGAATTGAGTAGTAATTTCATACAACACATATTATACACTTTTATCAAAGTCCAATGTAAATTGTATAGAAAACACACGTTATATATATGATACTCACACTCTCTCTCTCTCAATAACATAACATAAGCTCAAACACCACAAAAAGTGCGCATAGCATTTTGATCCCTTTGGCCATTTTCAGAATAATAATACTTGAGAAACTCAACATGATCATAAGGTTTAAAGAGCAATGGGTGTTCTTCATCCACCATCTCTTCCGGAGCTTTTATAACGCACCCTCCTTTAGGGATAGAGAACAATCCTGTCGAATATCGGGCCTCATTCCCGTTCATCATCACCCTGTGCAACGGAGAATGAAGTCTTCCGTTTGACCACGCCTGCATAAATCATTTGTTAGATGAAAATTTTCAATATAATTAAACAAAATCCTTAATAATAATTAACTTTAAAAATATAGTTTTTAAAATGTATTCAATCACGATCACGATCCGTGCTCCAACAACATTATTATTAATGATTGAAAGGTGAATGGAACTTACATGGAGAGAATCACCAATCATAACTACAAAACTACTTGAAGAAGAAGGCTTGTAGCTTAACCATTTTCCATCTTTGGTCATAATCTCTAAACCCTCCACTTGGTTTTGGTACAATATGGTCACAACATTCTTGTCACTGTGTGTGCTAAGGCCTAGTTTTGTGTCACTTGTTTGAGGTCCTTTGTACTTCATAACCCTAAGAAGGTAATTGGTTGAGTTCATGTGTTCCTCCAAGTACTTTTCAGCATTCAAACTTTCCAAAATCATCTTCCTTACAATCTGATCCAACGTCGTTAACTCATCGGAGAAGGAATGTATAGTTTTGCTGCAAATTAAGGTGAAATAATACAAAAAAAAATATTAAAAAAATTGATTTAATATTTTAGATTGTCTTTAAGAGTCTGCAAGACAGGTTATCGCACAGAGCATAAAAAAAGTTTTATAAAATATTTGTCACAGAACCTTCTGAAAATTTAAAAGGTGATCGTGTACGTACCTAAAACTTTGGTTTCCATGTGGCCACAAGATGTTGGTCATGCTCTTGACTTTCTCAAAGACATTTGCATCATCAATGCCCATGCTTTCATAAAGTGGAACCATAGGATATTGGCCAACATAACCATGATAAGGCTTCTTAGACACATTGAGTAGCTTGGTTTGTAAAGGAAGTTCAAAAAGCTCTTCTAGTGAATCAAATATGGCTTCACGAAGCTCTAAAGAAACTTTATCAAAAATTGCTTCAAAACAACCGTATTCTACTAGTGCTTTGTAAACTTGAGACTTCACTAACTCCCAATTGGAACTTTTGGTTTCTAAATTTAGGTTATTGAAGTTAATTAGTGGAAGCTTTGGAGTGGTTTCTGAGCCCATAATTTAACTTAGCAGTTAAGGCTAATGCTTAGTTTAAGCTAGGTTGAACTTATTATGATTAGTTTTAGTGATTGAGTTATATATAATATGTGTGCTATACATTGTAATTTGTAATAGTGACTTTGATAATATTGAAATGTTTATAGGGTATATTACCATACATCAATTATTTTATGCGGTATCTTTTTTCATATTTAACTACTTGAAGTTATATAATATGTTATTTTTCAATTATTTGAAGTTAATTATAATATTTAGTGAAACTTTTGTATTTGTACTTTTTTAAGGGTACAAACTTATTTATTAAATTATTGTAAGGAATTTGTCTACAGTGACAAATCATATACTCTTGAATTTTATTGAATATAGGACCACAAAAAATTATTAGTTGCCCTACAATTATTTTCAATAAATATTGATAGTGCTAGACAAATATAATATTGATTAAAAAAAGGACAAATCTATTGTTAACTTTGGGTACAATTATTATGCATGTATTTTTTTCTCTGTTATTTGAATATAAAAATATAAGTATTATATTATCTTACTTATTTTTACTATTTTATATCACATAATAAAAGAAAAAAAAAACTGAAAAATATTATATTTGACGAGTAATAAACATTATGTTAAGGGTTCTATGTCACACAATATTTGACACGAGAAGAGTATAGATATACATGTAATCATCGGGTACAAAAGTTCATCAAAATTGACTGAAAGAGCCTAATCTACCGTCTTTGGAAGTTGAAGAGTTTGATTGAGACAGCAAAAATACATGCAAACAACACTCCTGTCCCAACAACAACACCTGCACAAACACCTATCATGTCATGCTTGATACCAAAGTAACCTCTTATGAATTCTTCAACTGTTTCATTTTCTGATTCCATCATGATCTTTATATCTCCAAACTGTGATGCTATCAATCCATATATAGTCCAAGCCACAGGACATGCCCAATAGTACCATCTCCACCACACCGGAATCATCTGTCATCGTCGTAAGAAGTTAGAACATTGTATGTACATCAAATAAATACATTAAGGTTGGTCATTGGTGTTACACTTACCGGCCGTGGAACGACGAATCCTGAAAAGAGATTCCAAATCGCGTAAAATGCAGAAGCCACGATTGACGCGACATGGTGATTTGGAGTGATTGCTACAGCCATCATTCCATAGAAGGTGAAGTAGCACAATGTGAAGTACATGAAAAATATGTACCAAAAGAATTTCTCTAGACTCCAATCAAATCCAATCATCGCATAAACTATCACACCATATGATATAGCTTGGATAAAAACATAAGGTAGTTCTATTATAACCTGTCACAAAAGAGAGTGAATTCTATGAACATGAGAGAGTAATTACGCAAACCATAGTACTATTGAGATCAGGGCCGTCTTTGAGGGTGCGCAATATGAACTATAACACAGAGTCTCAAATTTGTCACGGCTAAACTATGGTTAAATAAGACATCATGGTGAAATAGGGTGACTAGCTCTTTTACCTGTGCGAATGCATAGGGCAAGGCAGAATACATTCCAGCAGCTCTTTCTCTATAGAAGACAGATCTTTCAACGGCTACCACGGGTTGAACAGCCGATGAATTCTGGACCCCAAGGAAGAGAACAGCAGTATACATTGAACCGAACGCGTTAAACAGATCTTGTCTATTTGAGCTGAAAATCAACAAAAGAGGTTAGAATTTATTCAAGTTGGAAAGAAAAACAGACTAATAATTGAAGTTTCACTTACTATTTCCTGCCAAGATCCCAGAATATTGTTCCAAACATCAAGCCTATGAAAGTAGTGAAGAAAAACCTCACAGAAGTATATGGCGGATTGCGCCAATACGACCAATGTTGTTTCCATAAGCAAGCCAAGCATTGGATCGAAAATGACTGTGAGTATTGGGTGGAGAAATGAAGATCCTTTGAACCATAAGCAGGTTTGCCTAATTCTTCTATAAGTTGCTTGTTTCTCCTAAACAACTCAGAGTTTTTGTATGTATCATTAAAATCAACACCTAAAGTAAGTTCTTGCGCCGAACTCGTAGCTTCCAACATCCATGTTGCTGGATTGTAGCCATCTTTGATTTTACTAACCCCTTCAATACTCTCAAAATACTTGATCAATTGACTCGAATGACGACCCAACGGCCCAACGTATACTTCTTGTCCTCCGCGCTTCATCAGGAATAACTAAAAGAAATCATATATGTAAGATAAGATATGTCAATTCAATTTTCAAGTCCAGAAGATGAAGAATCAGAAAACACTTTCTTACCTCGTCAAAGGCTTCGAATATGTCAATACTTGGTTGATGAATGGTGCATACAACTGTTCTTCCTGTGTCAACTGTGTTTCTAACAGTTCGCATAACAATTGCAGCAGCTCTAGCATCTAAACCAGATGTAGGCTCATCCATGAAAATTATGGATGGATTGGCAACTAACTCAACTGCTATAGTTAGCCTCTTGCGTTGTTCGGTTGAAAGACCGCTTACGCCAGGCAAACCAACCAAAGAGTTTCTCAATGGATTCAGCTCCACTAGTTCCATTACTTCCTCGATGAACATCTACAACCATTTATCATATATCTCGATTAATGAATCAAGTAAAAAGAAAAATCGCAAAGTGTCTCGGGCTTTAAATACGAACCTTTCTTGTATTGTAATCAACTTCTGATGGTAAACGAAGCCATGCCGAGTAGATCAATGACTCATGGACAGTAACACGAGGAGAATGGATGTCATTCTGCTCACAATAACCAGAGATTCGAGCAAACGTTTCTTGTCTTTTAGGGTAGCCAGAAATTTTTATGCTCCCGTCGATATGACCACCGGTTTTTCTTCCCGCCAAAACATCCATTAAAGTAGTTTTTCCAGCTCCACTAACTCCCATCAAAGCTGTGAGAACACCAGGCCTAAATGCACCACTAACACCCTTCAAAAGCACCAACCTATCCTCTATTACTCCTTGAATCTTCATTTCCTGCCAAATAGAATCTCCAGAGTCAAGTTTTGAAAAAACCAAATCCTAAATTTTAACAAACTTTGAAATTTTCTTACCTGTGGCATATCAACCGAATACACAACTTCGTCGAAGGTTATAGAATGTGGCTCGAAAGGAAGAACCATTCCTCGTTTCTGTCTGCGGCTAGAGGATTCTCCTGAACTTGCTGCATAACAATTGCAAGTTTGTTAAGATTCTAAAGACATTATGAATCGCGTTTTCATGAGTGGTATGAAAACGATAGATCACCTATACGCGGTAATTCAACTTCTTGGAGTGCGCCACTCGTTGCGCTGTCTTCCGATTCTTCATTTATAGTTGCTTGTGCCTTATCAAATGCTGTTAAATTCATTCATCTTTGTTAATGAAATATTTTCACTAACATAAGAAATTTAAATAACCGAATATGAAGATAGATACTCACGATTGAGATGCGTGAGAGCCACGGTGAATATAATGTTATAAAGAAACATAAATCCTATTAATGCGCCAACCCCTATCCAATACCAATACGCGTCTGTGAAGAATCCGCGAGATTCCAAAACTTGAATTCCTAGTGTTTTATTCGAATTCGGTGTAAACTACACAATCAAAGATAAAATGACTTAGGCCTGCGAGTTAACTAAAAGTTCAAAAGTTGCAAGTTTAAGAAATTACATGGTTCCAACTATCTCCGAGGAATTCATTCACCATTATAGCATTTTGTCCATACATCAAAGGTGATATCCAGTAACCCCAAATCCACCAGCTTTTGATATCCTCTGCATCATAATATCATCACCAACGAAATCGAAAGAAACATTAATATCTAGTTCTATTATATGATAAAATGAAGCTTGTAAATTCTTTTATTTAAACTCACTTCTGGACATAATGAAGCCACCTAATGTAAGAAGTGTGAGAAGTGCAAAGGACCCGAACGTGTTGGCGACAATCATGTTTCTACCGAGTGCTGCAATAGCGCGAAATAGTCCAGAAGCCACTTGGTTTATCAATAACAGCAGAAGATACTGCTTTAATAATCTGCACGAATACGAAACCTCGCACCATAAGTAAAATTTAGAACTAGTAGTATTAACATGTTGCAGATATATAAGGGGAAGGTTCTTTACCGGCCAACATTGGGATCGAATCCTATTACGTAATAGGTGAGAAAAACCCAAACGGCGACTTCACAAAATGTAACAGGCATCTTAAGGATCCATGCAGGTATAGAATATGCCCATGAAGGATAAAATAGAAGGTCTCTTTGCTTGTAGAAACATGGAAGCTTTGCAATGGTCATCGAAAGTTCAGCCATTCCGTTAAACATAATCATAACTACCGCGAAAAATATAGCACCAGCAAATACACCTCCATCGTTCAGGGACTCGCGGTGCATCTCAGTTCTTAAAAATAGCGTCATCGTCACCGTTGCCATGAAGATAAGCTAAAAAACACATCAAGAATACTCAAAAGTTAAAATCATGAATTCAAAATATTCATACAATCAAATATTGATTCATGTAGAGAAACTAGAACTAGAATTTACCTGACATATCTTGAAGATGTAAACAAAGGAGTTTCTTTTCATAAGCAAATACTCTCTTGAGAAGTTAGCTTTTAGTAGTTCCTTCTTGTTAACACCATACTTTTCAGTGGTTAATGCTGCTGGATGATTCTTAGACTTGTCGAATGGAATTGCGAGCTCGTCTCCAATTTTCCTTCCTACATGGTATGATTGAAATGTCTCGGCGAATTGAGTAACTGTTACAAACCTGTATGGTTTTTCTCTGTGAAACCAATACTGTTCTTGATCCTTCTTTGAAGTTACCTGCAAAAAGAAATAGATTATAATGTATATGTCTTCACTAACAACTAATGTTTTCGAAATAGGACCAGATCGAACCAGATGACTGAATGGTTCGATCTGGTTAAGAGACTGAGAGCCGAACTCAGTTAAACTTTGACTTACTTCTTGAAGAAAGTCAGCTGCACCTTTT